CAGAACGTTGAAATTTTGTATATAGCACTGCTATAACATTTATATGTGCACCTCGTATTTTGGTTGCAATCGGCCGCAACAAACGTATATAATATATTTACATATATATCCACTCTGTTACCCGGCTCAGTGATCTCAGTTTCTTTACTCTTATATGTTTATAAATTGTACATTTTTTGCTTTAAAAATGATTGAATTATGTTGTTTTTATCTTCCGGTTAAGGATTTTATGCCTTTAGTAAATCTGTGTGCAATATTTTTAGAATTATCAGCAATTTTAAAGTTGTTTAATTGCCGCTAAGCCTGTTTTTAATGGCGGCCATTGATGTTTACATTTGAAACAGGAGACTAGTGGATTTGTTGCCAATCTAGAGAAACTTAGCTTCGCAACAACAAAGATAACGCATTCATTTATTATTGCGAATTAAATCATGCTTAATTCTTTCTGGAATTTTTTCGTGGAAATAAGTGTTTGAGATTTACTTCGTAATTTTTAATATAGATATTTTGAGTTTTTATGTATTTTTTGCCTTCTCGCGAAGTGAGAACTGAGTTAATTGAATGAGAAATACTAAATCGTCTGTGAAAAACTGTTTCTTTTCTGTTTTGTTTGCTTAATTTCTTTCATACATCGTTCTAGCTTTATTATAGTGTTTGAATAGAACATGTGGCAACGATAAGATAATTCTTCAAATGATATAAATTTTGTGCATTCAGAGTGTTGTTATAGGAAACAAATATAGTGAATTTTAAAGAGTGCATTTATTCTATTGTGGTTTATGCGCTGTCGACGAAGTAGATTTAATTCAATCCAATCAATTTAAATGAAATTCAAGAAAAAAATGCACATAATTTAATATTCCGTACAAGGAAGTCATGTGATGTACACATCAGATTTTTTTAATCATAAACGGCATCAGTATCCACTTATACATCCATGAAAAATTCGATTAAACCACGGCCACCTGAAGGGCTAGAATATCCTGAATTCAGCCGTGCTTCTTTTCACAGACATGTACTATATAGCTCGAATTTATTCCGATGGTTAACGTGGATTCGAGCCAGTTTCCCTTAGAAAGTGCTCCACGAAAGCAGCCCTCCCCGTAGGCAGAGAACCCTCAAACACTTTGAAATAATCAAATAAACCAAACTAAACAAACCTTCAGTAAAACATGGGGGTAGCCATATGATCTTGGGTTATGTGACTGCTTAAATTGTGTATTTGACTGATGACAAAAATTGATAATTTTATGTATTCGAATATTTGAAAACAAAATTTGAAATACAATGCTAAAAAAATGGTCATATTCCTGCATTAATTTTTACCCTCAGCAATAATAATCATATTTGCAATTGTCGATTTTATATACCTATCCCCATGTAATAAAAACGCCTGTATCAAGGCGAGGCTTCAATCCTATCGAGCATATTTGGTAATCATTTGCAAGGCAAAATTAGTAAAAACAGATTTCCAACAGGCTGTCCAGACGGTATAGTGGTTAAGTAAGCCGACTGCTATACCGAAGGCGTAATGGCAGACCGCACATTGAGTTGAACAGTGTTAAACGAATGTGGCATACTGCGCATGCCCAGAAAACAATTTGGCGTAATTACTATGTTGGCGCGATTTGAAAAGAAGATAAATACGGTATATGGTAGATGTATCGCCATCTAATTGTAAACAAATCTGACGTTTAAATCTTCGTAGAATATAATGTAAATGTAAATTAATTTCTGTGTTAAAATACTATTTTTTGCTGTACTGCTCAAAACAACTAGAAAGCTGAAATTATTGGGAAGTAATGTGAAGCAGTGTTTACATTCAAAATGTAAAATATAATACTTATGAAATTCTGCACATTCCTTTGGAACTGTACAAATTTTAGTTCAGAAGAAGACTGAAATTTAGGATACATTAGTTGAAAATTTATTCATTATACTTTTAAGCAATAAAAACAATTCAGGATTTACCATACGTTCCATTCGTACATACATAAAGAAACACTGAGGAATATAACAAGTGCTTGCAAATAACACTAAAGAAATTTTACAATTCTTTAATGCTAGTTATTAAATTCTTTGAAATGAGAAATAAAAGCGCGAATATACGCTAACAAACTAAGCGAGATACTCCAGTTTACAATTACTGAATTATAACATGTAAACAAATTACATTTAAATAACGAATTATTACGAACATATGTTAACAAATATTAAATGCACTGTTATTAACAAATTAAAATGAAACATATATTAGAAAAATAAGCAAGTGCAATCGGCATGGACGTTAAAATAACTAATAAGCAAAGTTCCACAACATTGCAATTTTAAACATCACTCGAACACACTCGACAGCCATGGAGATCACGAATAAGCTCACGTAGGGTTGCTTAGTCGCCAATATTTCTCCCCGCGCCAAAGGTACACCATCAAGCATGCGCAGTAAGCGAAATTCGCTTAACACTGTTCAACTCAATTTTTACAAAGCCCCACTAATTTTTTATCATTACTTTCTCATTCGTACACGAAAAGTGTCAAATTTTATTTAACTTTATTTTCAATTTTAAGGGTTTTTCGATTTCGTTCAGCTCTACGATATGGCATGTTATAAAAAGTATTTCGTTTTTACTAATTTTATGTTGCAAATGATCCCTAAATGCACCCTGGACTAAATGCTAATGATAATACTAATTTTATGTTGCAAATGATCCCTAAATGCACCTGGCTTGTAATAAAAACACAAGTGTTTTTATTACAAGCGGATAGATAATGTGAAATCCACATTTGCAACTACGAACGCTATTGCTACATGAAGAATTCGAGACATTAAAATCTTTTAAAAATTGAAGAACTTCGCTGTCCTTTAGCTTAAAATAATCCAACTACCTGGTATCTTCTTAGGTCCCAATCACATTATGTTTCGGCTACGCGGGACTTGACGCTGAAAGAGACATTTCTCAGAACCCGCACAATTTCGGGAAACACACGTAGCCAGGTTACCATTCTCACTTACTACAAAGACTTGAACGCCAAACAGTAATCGATTATCGCTCAAATCGGGATCACGTGATCTTTCAGAACCAGAATTTTCGTCTGATTGGTTGTCTCTACCAGGGACTCGAGACATTTTCGGTGAGTTTTGAAAAAATTCCGCGTAGCCAGAAGATTGCTTCTGTAGTTAGGCGGGACTCTTTTTTTCTAGGAATCCTCCCGTTTAAACCAATGCTACCAGAATCTCGTTTCTCAGATAAGTCCCGTCTAGCAGGCACTGTAGCCATGTGTGATAAACTCTTTAATGATTTTGATCCACAATCTGCTGTGTTGATTATATAAAACCACGTTTCTGTTGATCTCTCATTCAAGTTTCTGTCAAGTCATCATTCGGAAAGTATACAAACAAAGCAATATTTAAAAATCTATAAGCTTCCAAGTTCCAGTTTCTATCTATGACTGAATCGTTTAGCTGCCGCATCTTTACTAGATCATTCTGCCGATCATAAACAGAACAACACACGAAGGCTATACGCGTGTATAAAACACTCGACTGCTATTTGCCTAAGGGGAGGTATGTCTTCGTGAAGGGATTTTTAAGGCTACCTGGGCTCGTAGACACGTTACACATGGGGAAAACCACAAAAGCGCTCGTACAGCCAGCCAATTGGCAGGATTCGAACCTAGGAACGAGGTACCAGTGTTCAGCGACTTTACCACTCCGCCGCTGGTGGGCCCATGCGTGTGTATGAGGATTTCAAATTAAAAATTTAGCAAAAAGAAAAAAGAATCGGTTAATCTTTGGATTATGGTACATTGGCGATTTTTTGGCGAAAATTTTGGCGACAAACCCTGCTAGTTTTTGTTTGGACGCCATTTTGTTTTCACGAAGTAAAGGCATGTTTTTTTTTACTCAACATTTTTTCCAACAATCTGCTAGCCGAATTACGCTTATGCTAGAACTTTTATGGAACAAAAGTGCTTAATCATGACGAAGATTAGGTGCGAAATCGGGAGAAAGTGCAGAATCGCAAACTGCTTGCCGCGTTTTTACGAATTGCACATACACGGTATCCATGTACACGTCGACCTATTTTCACTTAAAAAAAAAAATCCCAGAATTGCACAAAAATGGCATTGCGCACACTCTTGACTTTATCCATGTACACTGCTCAAGTCCTAGCTAGTAACCTTTATCGCCTTACCAAAATGTCGCCAAACTACCTGTTACCATATTCGAAAGATTAGCCATAGAATCGGAAAAAACTACACTTAATAAATTTCAATGGTATAATACTTTTGCATAATGGTATAAGTAAACTTTAATTTCCACTTTAATCCTAGATCACAAATGGAGCCCACCCTGACGATTTCGCATGACTTATTAAAACAAATTCGTAAAATAACATGTCAGTTTTATTGTAAATCAAGTTTCTTTCTAATAGACAATACTTAGCATCGACTAAAATTTTAACTCAAAGTCTTTCAAGCAACATCATGTATTTGAAGGTGTAGAAATATTTCCCATACTTTTAATGGGGTTGAGTTTGGAGTTTTCCGCAGTTGCACAGGACGCATTTTAATGCTAATAAAAAAATTCGAAAATTTACCATATGCTTCCAGAAAAAATCGTCTAGACCTCCTAATGGATATACAAATGATAAAATCACATCCTACTGTGCCATTCACTATACTCGTATTATCAGTACCTAAATAACAATAGACATTTTTTTCTTTTAATATGATTAATCCCTTCACGGTCACCGCCAAAAAGAAATTTTTTTTGGAAAAGGAGTAAATTTGAAATTTTATTAGGCTTAGTTATTGCATACGTTCCCGCCCATTTCCCAAAAGTTGATATCGAAGATTTTATCAGACAGTTTGGCCACATTGTTACCTAGGAAATCAATGTGCGGTATCTAGCAACAAATAAAGGGAGGAACATCCATGATAAGCATTTAAAAATAAATAAATGAATGAATAAAAAAATGGCGCTTCACAAAACTCACCCGATAACGTTTGATCCGAATCGCTAAAGGTCAATGGCAAGGAAATAAAAGTACAACAGGTTATCACTGCGCGAGCGCACCGTCGAGAACAAAAGATAGTAACAAAACACCAAAAATAAGGTCTTTCGGATTTGGCAACACCACAAAAGCTAATCGTCTCGCAACGTCTCGTTCGTTGAAAAGAATTAAACCTAAGTAGAGAGCCGAAGAACTTATCATAACCGGATGTCCGCTTGCGATTTATGCGTATTTTTGCTTCCCCCAACGTCTACTTCCGCCAGGAAAATATATTCCAAGGAAAAAAGGAAGCGCTGAAAAAAAAAAACTTATCAAAATTTTACAGAAATAATTAACAAATTATTATCAGGGGTCGTAAATTGCTCGATTACGGAACGCGCATGTAGAGAATATGAAATACATGCAGAATAAGAATGCAGAATAAGAAGTAGGTACAAATATATATATACAAATATATATATGGTACAAATATATATATATTATATAAATATATAATATATAATAGGATATGCATGCAGAATAAGAAGTAGGTACAAATGCGGTAGGAAAAGGCACACACATAAAAGTGTCATATTATGAGAAACAAGAAATTATGGTTATTTTACGATTAAGAATTTTTTGTTTGTTTCCTCCACAAATTTCATTTTATGCATACTAAATCAGAAAAATATTAAAATTACCCTCTCAAAAATGTGTTACCAATTTCACAAATAATAAAAGCTATTTAAATACAGTTAGTCACAAAAGTCTGCATACAGACTAAATTTTAAATAAAAAAAAAACACTTAAAGCATAGAAAAATGTATTTTAATCATTGCATTTTTTTCTTCTATTAGCTAAAATTGTAAGCTTAAATAAAAAGTAAATAATATCAGTGTAATACTTTTTACTTTTTTTCAAAAATATATTTTGTCAAAAAAAACTCACAAATTCCCTCCAATAAAGTCTGCGTACACTTTTTAAAAAAGCAAAATACAAGTTTTTTACATTACTTCAATACATTGTAGGATATTCTTTTATTCTTCAAAACAGCTTGCAGACGTCTGGGCATTGACGGAACTTAGTTTTTCAGTGTCATCCGACGTAAATTTCGCCCATTCTTCCTGCAATTTACTAATTAACTCATTTCGCGACGTAATATTGTGTTTTCGAATTCGTTTCTCCAATTTTGCCCACAAATGTTCGATTGGATTGAGGTCTGGTGACTGTGGAGGAGTACGCAAACTGTCTTGGAGTGTGATATTGGAGATATTCCTTCACAATTTTAGCTGTATGTTTCGAGTCGTTGTCTTGTTCGAAAATAAAGGTATTAGAAAGGTTTAAATTTCGGGCACTGTCTCGTAGATTTTTCTTCAGAATATCCAGATAAACATACTTATCCATGACTTTATCAATAATGTTAAAATTTCCAACTCCTTTCGAAGACATACACCCCCATACCATCACACCGCCAGCTCCATGTTTGACAGTTGGATTTAAATTTCTCAGATTCAGTTCTGTTCCTGGTTTTCTCCATACAATAGGGTGGCAATTAACTTTAAATATCGTAAATTTACTTTCATCTAACCAAATAACATTGTTCCAGAAGTCCTGCGAAGAGTTTAAATATTTTTTGGCATTTTCTTTCTATTTGTCTCGGAAATGTATGGCTTAGACCTAGGTTTGCATCCTTGATAATGGGCCTTTCGCAGCACTTTTCGTACAGTTTCAGGAGAAATTTCCTTGTAGCTAGTTAAAAAAATGTCTTTTGCAATGCTTGCAGCAGAAAGTTTAGGATTTTGTTTAATTTGTAAAAGAATTTTTCTTTCTTCTCTCTGCGTTAGCTTCTTCGGTCTTCCACATCTTAGTTTTACAGCAAGACTACCAAGGTCAAGATAGTTTTGAATAACTCTTTGCACACTAGAAAATGGTTTTCCAATGGTTTTACCAATATAACGAAGAGTTTTATCTTCATCTCTCAATTTGATAATTAGTTGTCTCGTAACTAAAGGAATTTCTTTATTGGTTGTCATTTTCGTCAAAGAAAATAGAAATAATAACTTCCAATCAACATGAAATTTGCTTCGGAAGTCAATGACCTTGAAAGTGTAACCTTCTTAGCATTCTCAAGTTTGAAGTTTAAAATTTAGTAAGAAATCCCCCGCCTCCTTCAAGTTGTACGCAAACTTGATTGGCTTTGATTTCTGGCCACTTATCTTTTAAAAATTAGTGTGCATAAATTATTAGATATGAAAATATGACAGTTAAATAATTTCAAAGTCCCTTATTGAAACTAAATATTTAAAAAATAAAACTTTAAGAAACTACACTTTTCGCTGCTTAAAATTTGGATTTGATATTACTTTTCTTGATGTACGCAGACTTTATTGACTAACTGTATGTCGATGATTTACCCATACCAGGTCCATAGCAGGCCTGATGAAGCGTGGAGAAAGTAGGCACTTGTTTTCACAAACGCCAGAACCCCACTTTTTAAGAAAACCAGTAAAAGTCAATATAAACCAATACAAACCATTAGAAAGTTCTGACATTGATGTTGGTTGTATGAGTGTCGATTGATACCAGTAAGAAAGACCCACAGAGATCTATAGAAACCAGTAAAAGTCAGTAGGGACCAACAAAAATTCTTTAGGTACCAGTAGAAAGTTTTGCTGGTTTCTATGGGGCAATTTGAAACCAGTAAGAAAAACCCACAGAGGCCAACAGAAACCAGTAAAAGTCAAAAACACATAAAATTTTATGGGTGCACATAAAAAATTTTACTGGTTTCTATGAGGCATTTTTAGCAGATACATACGTATGTGCCTTTAGCTTTAAAACCATTTGCCAAAAAAAAATCCCATATGCTAAATTTACCATATTTATGACATATTTTGTTCACTTGGACAGAAAAAGGGTATTTTTTTAATTCGTAGTCAAAGGGTCTTTTGCGGTCCTATGTTTTTGTCTCTTAGCCAAAGTTTTTTTTTACCGTTCCAGTCGTATGTCTTCTGCCACTCACCCACAACTCCCATACTCATCTTTAAGTCTACAAGTCGCATAACTGTGCACGTTACGTGTTACGCTTTGTCCAGAGAAAATTAATTCCGACCAGCATTATTACACATATTACCGATTCTGAATATAGACTTCCTAATGCTTACAAATAGTATCACCCAGTATTATATGTAAAGAAATTAAATAACGAGGAATATAAATACATGTATGTTTCTCGCGCTGTAGTGTGGGGGGGGAACTGTACATAGAACCATCAAATTTTGAATAACGTAGTCCTCCACACGAACATGGGCACGTGGAAAGCCGAATTTTGAATTTCGAATTTGTTTTATTCCCCCCCAGCCCACCAGCGGTAAAGACGCTGAACACTGGTAGTTCGGTCCGAGGTTCGAATCCCGCGAACGGGCTGGCTGCATGGGCGTTTTCGTGGTTTTCCCCATGTGTAACGTGTATACGAGCCAGTTCCCCTTAGAGAGTCCTCCACGAAGGCATCCCTCCCTTTAGGCAGATAGCCCTCGTGTGCTTTGCCATAATTAAATAATCCAATCGAATCCTCCCCAATATTTTAATTTTCCCCAATATTTTATTTAAATTATTTATTTAATAAAAACTAACAAATTTTTGATTATCAAACTCAACGATTTCAAAGCGAGCAGTGACTACAATGTATGGAATAAAACATTTTTATCTCCAGCGTGCGAGACTGACGGAAGTTCTAGATATACCCAGAAACTGAGATTTGCAATTATGTAACTTCTGAAAAAAATCTGCTTATAACAACACTCAATACGATTTTCATAAATGTTCCCCTTTGTGCATTGTTCAAGATAATGCTCATTGCTCATCTAAAATATCAGCAATAATTCCACATAACGTCTCCGAAGGTTTTATCCACTGAACGAAATGAACGCCACAGGAGGAAGGAAAACAAGCAATAAAAGAACATTTCCTCAACATTCTTCATCCTGTCCTGACAGATGCAGGACGAATCCATCTAGTCGTCAAGTTAAATATACACTCGTACATGACCCGATGAGCATAACAGAACTGCAGGATATATAACAGCTTTCCCATTTTTAAATACAAATTTTGACATAAATGTAAGCAATGATCCGTGATGCTTCCCTCTCTAGCGTGGGATGCGGAAAAACTGTACACATGTCCGCCTGGTTTAAAAAATGCATTCGTGATCACGAAATCCGATTTTGAATGCGTGGCCACGCGATTCCACCAATAAAGTGAAATATACCCCCACCACCGTCTAATACGCCAACAATCTTCCTTGATTAACCGTGAGAACTCAAGCCAGAATTTCGCGGATATCATCCCGTTTTGTGGTCCCATTGTTAGGAATACATGCGTGTCTCATTGAACTTAACCCATTCAAGAGTGCTACAGGTTTAGAGTTATATAATAAACGTTTTCATAAATTACCTTCAAACATTCTATCGTTCATATTACAATAGGATCCTAAAAGGAAAAATAACATAAAAGAGCCATTTAATACAAAATCGCATTGCTTTCTGATAAAAGGTTGCATACAGCATGCAGATAAAAGCAAGTATGAGCAAGTAACACCTCCCGTCGAAATGTCGGCACGTGGCAATCCAATGGATAGATTTCTTGAATGTTTAACATGTTTGAACCGAACTATATTTGGCTACGAATGCAGTATGAATATTTCTCTGATGGGGCTGTCTTACACAGCATTGTTTAACCTTTGACATTTCATAAAAACTCACTCTTCAACTAGCATCATAGTTTAGTGTTAATTGTCTGAATGCTTAATCTAAATTTTTTCTTTAGCCGCACACAGAAAATTCTCTTTCAACGGACTCACCATTTCCTCTCTTCCTGAAAAAAATTACCTTTACAAATATCTAGTTATTACAGATTATGAATAATAATTTATGATTCCTTAATAATAAAAGCATATGTATAGTTTTTATTAAAAACGAGCGAGACAGTTTCCACTTTGATTAAAGGACCGGAATGGTATTAAAAGGTCGAAAAAACGGTACACTTCCGTTTAAAAAAGTATAATCAGGTTATGCACTGACGACTTCAACATAGCATCTACAAGTTTCAGACGTGATTTTTTTTTCCCAACCAATCTCTCAGCAAAGCTTCAAAAACGATAACTTAT